CAGGGCCCAGGTTCCTTGTCCCCTGTGTCCACCAGGGACAAGGCCGAGCGCACAACCAGGCACCCAGTAGCACAGTGGGTGCTGGAGCCTGCCCCCCCAACAGCAATGACCATCTTGGAACAGGACCTTTCTGGAGGAAGGCGAGCGCCGGGAGCAGCACAGCAAGGGGCTGGGGGCTCAGCACACACTGCCTGCATGGCACACTCTCAAGATGGCAGCACCGGATCCAGCCTGGCCAGGGAGCAGTGCCGAGCCACCCACATGCCTGCCGTGGAGGGGCACAGGCAGCAGGGTGAGTCGGTGCTAGGGGCAGAGTGTGCACCACAGCTGGAGTGTCATGAGGCCTCAGCCCGCTGGGGTTATGTGCTGATGGTGCCCCTCACTGCCTTGCTGTCCTCAGGTCTGGGCAGGGTGTGCAGGTGCTACAAGCACCTGGATAAGTGCAAGCACCACATCGCACCCAATGAGGTGAAGTACCAGCTGCACAACGCGGACACCCGGGTGCTCTTCCACTGCAACTGCACTCGCAGGTACGCGTCCAGGAGGAAAAGACAAGGCTTTTCCCACCATGACAGGGCACTGTGTGCACATAATTTGGAGTCAGATGAAGTGGGTCCCAGCAGGATGCTCACCCTGGCCAGCAGCTGCTGACTGCTGCCCTTCTGTGCCCACAGGCTGGCACGGTTCCTGCGCAGGGCAGGGGACCTTAATGATGTGGAGGTGGCTGTCCTGTCTGACCGCATTGCCACAGACTGCTTTTTTCTGGAGCCGCCCACTGACTGCAGCCTGGCTGAGGGGTCCCAGCACAAGTAAGTGTGGACGGTCAAGGGAATGTGGCCTGTGTGGGGCTTCCTACCCTGCATGGACAGGAGGGATACCCTGATGCAGCTGAGTGCTGTCCTGCAGGGTTGGCATGAAGCTGGCATTGCAAGCATTATCCCCTGCTCTGCTGTGCCATGAGCAGGGCTGGGGTGGAAGGCAATGGATGTCAGTGCTGCAGTGTTAACACTGATGCTCATAGCTTCGCTTCTCTGGCAGCTGTATCACAGCAATGCGGGCTGTGCTAGTGCCTGCACAGCATCTCAAAAAGACTGTAAGGCAATGGGGTCCCCTGCCTGTGACCTCCAAGGCCAAGCACCCAGACTGGAACACACAGGACAGTGGTGGCACCCTCTATGAGCAATGCCTGCAGCTGGCCTTGGAGCAGAAGCTGGGCACTCAGCACCACACAGTGCCCCGATGATCCCCAAGAAGCACTGCCTCCTGTGGGAAGACATGCTGTGCAACAGCCATGGAGCAGAGCTGCTTGATATCTGGTCCTTGAGACAAAGGATGGCACTGAGCATGGCTGCTGGCATGGCTGCTGGCATGACTGCATGGAGCTGGGGGTGGCCACAGCTGGAGCAGGCAGAAGGACTGAGAAGCCTCTCAAGAAACTATGGCTGGGGGGAGCGGGGGGGTGTAGCTGTGGCTGCCATCTGTGAACATCAAAGGAAGGGGAAAGGAATAGGAGGGCTTTGGTAAAACCCACCATCTTCCTTCCCTGTTGTGCCCTGGGGTGGGGGCAGTGGCCCCCCCTTCCTGGATTTGTGCCCCTTCAGCTGGGGGGCCTGAGCACTGTGGTGTGATCCTGACCCCCTTCCCCAGCCAGGGTGGGAGGGGTGCAGGGAGGGCTGGGGTCTGTACTGGCTCCCAGGCCTGCGGAGAGGTAGGGGGCAGCAGCCAGAGGCAGGCCCAGGGCTCTGCCCTGGGGAGGAGTCAGTCCCTGTCTGCAGAACAAGCTAAATAAAGGGTAGTCTGAACATGGTGTGTGGTGCCAGGGCTGAGCCTGCTGTTCAATGCTGTGACCCCAGGGGCTAATCTTGTCCCCTTGCAGTAAGCACAGTGCAGCTAGGGTGGGCAGGATGGTTTATTTTGTTACTTGCGCTACATCCAAGGCTGAGGCATGGTGGTAGCAACAGGGAAGGAGCAAGCTTCAATCTCAGGGGTACCCTGAGGTGGTCCTCACTCTATGCCCATCACCATTGACCCCAGAGCCCTGCCCTGGGCTCCTGTCCCACCTCAGGTGGGAGGCCAGCCCTCCTCCCATAGGACTGAAGGGTCTTGCACTTTGAACTTCATGAGGGGCTCCCCTGCAACCGCACTAGACCAGCCTTGCTCTCCCCTGTGCCACCTCCCAGCCCTATCAGGCCTGGGAGAGCAAGGGGAGGGTCCCTACCTGCCAGGCACACAACAGGGGTAAAGAGTCACTGCAATAAATAAGGGAGAGGGGTGTCTACAGCAGGAAAGTGGCAGAGGAAAGCACACAGCAAGCACACTACAGCAAGGAGGGAGGAGGCCATGGTGTCAGCGGCCCATGGCACAACTACGGCTGTCCAGCTCTTGGGGGCTGCTCCCTTCCTTTGGAGAGGTGCTGCAGCTTGGGGGGCTGGTGGGGGTCATCCTCCGGCAGGAATAGCCCTGGTCCACGCTCTCCCTCCGCCGGCCCATGGCCTGGTCGATCATCTCCAGGCGGAGTGCAGGCAGCAGGCCCAGGTTCCTAGGGTCAGCCCTGGCCAGGGGGTTGTCAGCAGAGATGCGCCGGGGGCCACACTGCTCACGCACAGTCTGGTAGAAGGGACTGCCCTCCTGGCTGTCAGCTGCCCGCCCTGGCTCCTTGGCTTTGGCTCCACAACACCCCAGCTCCTCCTGGGGCAGGTGGATGGTAGGGATGTCTCCAGGGAGACCACAGCGGCTCTGGGGTGACGGGCTGCGGCTTGTACCCCTGTCTCGGCTTGAATGAGGCCCTGGAATTTGGCCAGGCTGGGGCTTCTGCTCCGGTGCCGTTTCATCTTGCCTGGGCTGGGGCTACGGGATTTGGGGGCCAGCAGGACAAGCGTGCTGTCATCTTCCTCTTCTGAGCTGCTACCCGAGCTGTCCGTGGGGCTGCTGCCCTCCTCTGACCTGGGCAGGGAGATCTGCACCCCTGCATCAGCACTGCTGGCTGATCCTCACAGGGAGCTGTGAGTCACCACAGCAGCTGGCTTCCTCCAGCCAAGCACCCTTACACACATCCCCCCTGCCTCCCTCAGCCCCTCACCCTTGCCTCTTGGCCATGCTGACCTGGAAGGGTTCAGTCACGCCAGCAATGCTGCTGGAGGTGTTGCTGTAGTATCCAAGAATGTACTCGCCCTTCCCCTTGGGCAGCGCCTCCTCCGAGAACATCACCTAGAGCCCAGAGACAGCTGATGGGCACCAGGGCTGGGCACAGGGGTGTGCCCCCTCCCACCTCCAGCCCCACAGAGAGCTCCAGCCTCAGCTGAGTAGAAATCCCTGATGCCAGCACAATAGGCCTGGCGAAGGCTCAGCACAAAGCAATAAGGAGATTCCCTCCTCCCTCCAATCAGGGGCACAAAGGGGCCACTGTCCCCCCACAACTGGGCACTCATGCCCAGTAAGAAACACAGCAGGGCTGTGCCCAGCTCACCTGTGCACACAGCTGCTTCTCTAGGCAGCGCTCTCCATCATCACTCCTGGCCCAGACATAGGACACGTAGTCTTTAGGATGCCGAAAGCCCACCTGTGTGCATGTACATGGAAGAACACAGGTGAGGGAGAGGAACATCAGCCCTACCCAGCACCATCACCCATGCTCAGCCTTAGCTCTCCTCTCGCTCAGCCCCCTCTACTTGCACAGGGAAGCCAAGAGCTGCCTTGCACTCATCCAGCAGCGCCCTGGCCCCCAGCCCTCCAGGAGTGCTGGCCTTTGGACCCTGTGGGGCCCACAGAGCAGGAAGAAGAGGGAACTGTTGGATCTGAGCCTCCTGAAGCAGGGTCAAATGCTGCTGCTAACTGCCAGGGCTTCCCAGGGGAAGAAACAGCACAGGTCCATGCCATGCACCCATGTCCAGTGGTGGGGGGTAGCTCAGAAGGGATCCCGCAGTGCTGTGCGGTGCTCCCCACTCCCTCCAGCCCCAGCACGCCCCAAGCCCCTACCCGGTAGAGTCCTATCCAGTCCCAGGAGCTCCGGTGGAAGCCAGCAGCCATCTTGTACCTGACAACTGCTTGCTCAGGCCTGCTCCATTCGTCAGCCACATAAATCTCAACCGGGGGCTTGTCTGCCTTGGAAGCAAACTGTCAGAGACACATACATGGTGAGCAAGGGCATGCCAAAGAGAGCTGCCCCTGCTGCCCAGGGTACCTGTGTAGGGCTAGACCCTCATGCATACACCAACAGCATCCCCCAGCCACAGTGGCAAGACAGCTGAGCTTGCCAAACAAAAATCAAATGAGCCCCGCATACCCCATCATACACTGCACACACTAGCTGGGCATCTCACCCCTGCAGCTCCTGCCTGTGTGCCCAGTGGCCCTGGGTACACACTTAGTGCCATCTTACCTGCACTGCAAAGATGGCAGCTACTGGCTTGTGGTCGCTGATGGTATACTCCATATGGCTGCAGTAGCAGAGCTGGCTCACTGACAGGATGCCCTGGCTGGGCCGGCGTCCGCTCGCACCAAACCCAACAGTGGGAGATTTGATCTTCCAGAGGATGCGGTCAGTCCAGGCAGGTTTTCGCTTCTTGGCACTGCGGGGCACAGAGGGGCATCTCTTGCCTGGCAGGGGGCAGTGGGCTCCACCCTAAACTGCCTCCCCCTGGCACTATGGCACACAGACAAGGGATGCAGCTATCCTGACACACAGCTCAGTGCAGCTGCAGGGACAGACCTGCGCTGGCACCAGCATGACAGTTGTGTCCCAGCCTGCCATCCCCAGTGCAGCCCGTGCCCATGCCAGCATGGCTTCCCCCATCCATCCACACTAGCACCAGCCTCTGCCCTGCTGGCACCAGCACCCACCCTGGCTCTGAGCCCCACTACTCCTCCCGCATCCCTGAGCCATGCCACCCACTCCCAGGCCCAGCACACACAAGCTCTGCACTGCTACCTGCTGTCATACTTGTTGGTGCCCACATCGAACTTGAAGGTCGGTGGGAAGTTCAGGGGTCCCTCCTGAAAGCCACTGAGGACAGGCCAGGTGCTCTTGGCAATGTTCAGCTGTGGGGAAAAAAAGCAGGTTGGGGAGCACATCAGGCGCCATGGCCAGACCCCTTTGCAAGCCCCTGAGACCTCTCCACGCCCAGCACACAGTCATCCCTGCCCCTCTTCTGCCTGCCCCACACAGCTCTCAGGGTTTGTCCACGCCCTGCAAGCAGCAAGTCCATAGACCCAATGCCCCCAGCTCTTCCTAGCACACTGATAAAGGAAGCGTGTGCCCAGCTCCCACAAAGACCATCCTGGGACTGTGCTGCACCTTCCCCACAGAGCCAAAAGAGCCAGGCACCTTTGTGCCCTATGGGCAGCAAGGGCCCATGCCCTGTCCTACCGCTGCATGGGCAGTTTTGGCAAGAGCTGAATGCCACTCAGGGCCCAATCAAGGCTCAGCAGCATGCTCATCCTTCTCACCTGGTCCTTCTCCCAGAGCTGGCTCAGGATATTGCTGTCGACAGCATACTTCACAAAGCGGATGTCAAGGCTCTCGATGCGAAAGTTGAGGTCCCCAAACCAGAACACAAGGCTGTGGGTGGGAAGGAGGGCAAAGGGCTGGAAGGGCCAAGGCTACCAGAGCCAAGCAGCACAGCAGGATGAAGACATCCTCAGCCTGCGGGCAGCCTCAACCTGCAGCACAGGCACTCTCAGGAACACCACTGCCGTTCAGCACTCAGCCGACAGCTTGGCCAGCTGCCAGACCTGACAGGATTCCTCAGGTAGGACCAAGCACCATTAATCAAATGGGCCTGGCTTTCCTGGGGAGAAACTGAGGGTGGAAATTTCCACTGTGAGGCACCCACTGGAGTCAAACCGCACAGCCAAGATACTAGGCCCTCCACCTCACCAGTCCCAAACGCCAACAGCACCAGTATGGCAGGAGCTGCACTAGGCCTGGATGTGCCCCAGGGGAGAGCAAGGACCCTTCTTAACACCTACTCCACCATGCTGGGTCCCCACTGGGCCACGGGACAATTTTGCAGCTCTGCAGGCAAGACCCCATCTCCAAGCTCTGCTGGGATTCAGGGGACAGATCCCAGACCCTATCTGGAGGGAGTCAAGGACAGGGGCTGGCAATAGAGCCCTGGCCCAGATTGAGGAGCAAAGTGGTGGGGTACGCACTCATGGTCCAGGATGCCGCTGGCTGCATGCCCCTCAAACTGCTGCATGTGCAGTATGGTGGCAAAGTCCTCCTTGCGCTGCTCCGCCTTCTCCAGGTGCGCTGGCAGGTGGCAGTTCAGGAAGCAGACCATGTGGCCGAAGATGGAGAGACGAATGCTCACCCCACCCTTGTTGCCCTGCACCGAGAGGATCCCATGACTCCTTGGGAAGCCAGCCCCTCACCACCTCCCCCAGGGCCACACTCACCCAGTAGCCTCCCAGCCCCGTCCTCGTGCAGTCTGTCTGGATGTCCTGCAGGAAGGGGAGGTGGTAGTACTTGGCAAATACCAGTAGGATCACACCTTGCATCCGCACTGTGCTGACCTGGAACAGGAGCAGGGGCTGAAGCAGGATGGTAGCCACAGCAGAGCCCACAGGGGCAGGGACAGCTTCCCCTACCTCCAGGCCATAGGGGGAGCACCTCCATCCTTTGCATGCCCCCCATCTTGCAGATGACTAACAGCACATTTAGTCCAGAGATCTATGCACACCCTCCTGAATACTGACAGCTGAGATAAGCCCAACAATGCTAAGGCTCATGTATGCTCTGGGGCAAGCGCCCTGGGGAGCTGAACTTGCCCTGGGACTCACAGGCTGCTGCCAGCAGCACAGGCTTGTTGCCACATTCACCTCCTCACCCTGGTGCAATGTAGCAGGCAACAAGAAGTGTCCCCAAAGCACCACAGGGGAAGCCTAAGACACAGAAAAGGGAGCAAGGTGGCACAAGCTAGACAGCACACTGGCAAGATGCACCACTAGCCCTCAGGTCATCTCCCCACGCTGCTTGGATGGCTGCAACCTCTCCAGCCAGCTCTCCCACCACACCTCCTCCCTCCCCATGGTCCACCTGCCTAGCAGGCAGAGAGGGAACACCAGCTGCCCAGCCCCTTTGCGGCCTCCTTACCAGGACAAAGTGGAAGGGGCTCAGCACATCCATGAAGAGCTCGCTCCACTGATCTGTGAAGAGGGCATCCTTCAGGCGCTTGTTTATCTTAGAGTTCACCTCTTGCAGCCTGGGAGGAAGGGGACAGGTCCCTCAGCCACACCTGGAAGGTGTCTGCGTCCCAGCTAGTGAGAGCTCCTTGGAAGAGGTGCCAAAGCACAGTGCTGGGCAACAGGGCCAGGGTGGGAAGGGCCGTTCAAGGTAGGACTGTGGGTTTAGAGCACAAACCAGCCATATCCTTGCTCCAGTGATGCTGGGCCATATGCTAGCAGAAGGCAGAAGTGGCCCTGAATCCATGAGGCCTTGGCCCTTTTTAATGCAGGAGCAGTTCAGCTGCACAGGGCTGGGCAGCGGTCTAAAGCCTGTCTCTAGGTGCAAGAGGGGCTTACAGGACATTTCAGCTGCATTAGTCTCTACAGAGAAGCCAAGTCTCACTGGTACTTCAGCATAGGGTGTCCAGATGCATCCTAGCCACCAAGCTCAGAGCAGCAGCAAACAGAAGGTTAGTAGTGCTCCTCCCAGCTCAGCAATTAATGAGAAGAGGGAAGGAGAACATCCCAGAGAACGGCAGAATCAGGAAATGTCTTGCCCAAAAATATCAAGTGTTCAGGGCACAAAGACACAGGGCAGAGGAAGGACACAGCCAGGCAGAGACACCCTGCCCCATCCAGGACACAGTCCCAGCAAGTTCCTTGCTGTCAGCTATACCCCCTACCCTATCCATCCAGGCTCAGGTCTACCTCTACAGCCCCCACAGCCCCATCCTGCTGGTCTGCAAGGCCAAGGGGACCAGGAGACTGGCTCCCACACAGCATCGTAGCTCCAGCAGCCCCACCCTTACATTGCTCTCTCCCTGGGGTGAGGAGCACTGGGGGAGTCCCCAGGAGTCTCCTGGAGGCAGATACAGCTCTTCCACCTCACACCCACAGGCAGAGGCTGCTTTTCACTTCCCGTGCGAAGGCAAAACATCCCTGGTCTTAGCAGGAATCCACACATGCCACGGCAAACCTCGAGGGACCAGTTTGCCCTTAGAGTGTGGCAGAGCTTGCCTCACCAGCCACACCAATAAAGCCTTACCACACCGATGTGGCGCTGCCTGGCCAGCAGTTAAGTGTTGCCAGAGGCACAGAGCCAATCCAGCCGCGAGAGAACAGATTTGTGCCCTTGAGGCCTGCATATCATGGGCAAAAGCTCAGATGAGGAAAACACTCCCAGAGGACTCTGGCAGGTGAGTTAAATGCCTCTACAGACCTGACCCCAGGACTGCCAGGGCTTACAGCAAGGGCAACACTTGCTAAGGCCTGGCTCTGCACAGCATAGCCAGCTACAGGCTATTCAAGGGTTCAAGGCTACTCAGGATTCAAGGGTTTCAGTTCCTCTTAGCACTTCCATTTTAGTAGGAACTGATGCTCCACCACCTTTTCTGATATTTTACTGCTTGTGATGCACACCCCTCGCTGCTCATCATGTTCCAGGGAGGTTGGGGCTGCAGCTCTTCCATTCCCCACCCCCCAGGGCTATGGGGAACCCCTGAAAGGGGACATGGCAGGGGAGGGGAGGGGGCCCTGCACCTCACCCTCTTACCCAATAGCAATCACGTCCGCATCATTTGTCTCTCCTGTGTTGAGGTGCAGCAAGGATGTCACATCATTCGGGGGCATGGCTGTGCCCACATTCCAGGTGACCACTGTGATGCTTGGGAGGACAAAGGAAGAACAGGCTAACACTGGGGCTCAAAGGTGTTCCCTGTCCCCCCTCATTCAGCCTCCAGCTCCACCAAGGAAGCTCTCTCCTGCAACAGAAGTGGCCACAGCTGAAGCTTAGCCAGGGCACGTATACCAGGTCCTTAACTCCCATTTGAGGGAGACAGGTCCTTGCCTCTAAATTCCCCCAGAGTCTGCACCTCGGTGCATGGCAAACCCCGCTGTAACCCAAGCTCTGGTGAAGTTCTAGAAACCAGCACAAAGAGCCCTCATTTTCATCACCACTGACTGACACAGGCAGGCCGGGACAGCAGGCAGCCTGCAAGACAGGGTGTCCCTGGAAAACCGCTTCCCTTCACCAGGAATCGTGCATCTCTCAGGCTCCTGGGGAAAATGACCTGGATCTCAGCCCCGAGACTCTGCCCCAGAGCACGGCCATCCCCAAAGGCCAGGGCATTGCATGTGACAGTGGCACTGCAAGCCCTGCAGCAGTGTCCTTGACCAGTGCAAACCCACCATCAGTCACAACACATTAATGCTGTTACGCAGCATGCACCAGAGGCCCCAGGGGCTCTTTCGGCAATGCTAGGACAAGTCTTAGTCACAGGGGGCACATTTCAACAGTGAAGGAGGGTAGGGCCACATCATTTCCAGAGCTTGGGGCCAGCAGGGGCAGATGGCACTTGCTTCACAGCCTGTGCCTAGCCATGCCACACACCACCCAGCCCCCTGAACCCTGCCTGCACAGACAGCCGACACCAGGCATCCTCCCCGTGAACCCTGCTTGTCCACAGCGTCTCACCCCAAATCTCCTCCAGCTGAACACCATCCACAGCAGGAAGAAAGGGGCAACTCCAGCCCACAAGAGGCTTCACTGGCTGCTTCACAGCAAGGGCAGCTTCAGTCTGGCATTGCTCCCCCTGCTCCCCT